TTCACTCCGGAAGCTTCATCCTGGAACATCTGATTCGATCTTGACACCAAGCTAACCCACAAGTCAACTTCAAAGTTATCTACAGAATATATGCGGATCTCGCTAGATGAGTACGAATCAAATTTCTTCAAAACCGTAGAAGTGATGGCAATTCACATGTTAAATCCTGAACTCTGCATACAGAAGAAGTTTGTTCAGTTTCACTAAATCTACAATGGACATGATCTGGCTTAACGCTAGGTACGTAATTTCCTTTTTTAATTGTATTATTTGCTTCCCCCACCTCCTAATTAAAGTTCTTACCCCTTATTATTACCACTGTGATTAAGATGACTCCCATTCAACTTTAGCTGAATTCTATTCAGCCCCACCAATCATATTACGTCAGTCAATTTATTTATCTAATTTCATTTCAGTTTCTACCATAGTAACACTTTCTACATTAAGCGATTTTTTATTTAAAAATTAACAATTCTAATGACACATCTTTGGAAATATTCCTTATGTTGCCAAGAGAATTTACTGTATATATGCAGTTGTACAGCTTGAGATTGATATCGGTGGGAAGAGTAACTTTTCGCTGAACACGGTTTCTTTTATAATTAAGTAAGACATTTTAAGCTTTAAACTAGGCACGCTACTTGCTACGAAAATGTCTGTTGTTTTCTAGATACACCTTAAATAAATTCGCATTTATTGTAATTGAGTACTCCAAATGAAGGTTGATGTCCGTGAACGTCGTTTTCCTTCCTCAATTTCATCATACTACTTATTTCAATAAGTAGTTACAATTATGGCTGCAAATGTTTAATCGTAATCAGGTTTCACGTTCTAGTTTGCTAAAGAATAAAATATCTGTAGTTCAATTCGTATATTGGTAGAATAATGTTTATAAGGCCTCAAAATAATCACAGACTGTGTTCAGAAATTAGGACATGGTTTAGGATACGAAAAAAAATTAGGATACGAAGTTGAGGAGTTTGTTCGACATTGTTGTAAATGGTGTGGAATTTTATTCCCAGATTAACTCGTAATATTTACATGAGACAGAAAAATTAACTAACTTGGGTTCCAAGTGGAACATAGGGCTTCAACAACACATCTCCACTCTGTTCTATTTTCTGCTGTCCTCTTCAGCTGGATAGCTCCACGAATGACCATAATCTCTCATCTCCTCCAACTTGCATGATCACCTTCATGCCACCTTCGCACCGAGGACCCACTAGTCTCCTCCCATTCGGATTCCAGTCGATCATTGGCCTGGCGTGTGATGTCATTCGATGGCCTCCTCAACGTATGCCCAATCCATCCATCTCAATTTTCTCCTTCATATTTGTTAAGCAATCGATTCTTCATTGGTTCGTTTCCAGAGTTTCTTGTCGCTAATTCTTTCTGACCGGCCAGCCAGCCATTTGGTCTTCAGTACGGAGCCAGCAAAAATTGCAACTGTTGATAAAAGTCGGTAACTTGTTGTTGGTAAGTGAGATCACTATTAGCAGTGGTACTAAGAAAGCCAGATTTATCATTTTCACACAGAATTAATCGATAAAAAGTCTACACCGGAAGTAGAAGTTGTATCACCACATTAGATGCTTGAAATGCGCCCAATCCTACTTTATATTTGACTGTAACATGAAGGTTGTGGACTCTTTGACACATAGTATTATTATTATTATAAGCGTATCAAACAAATATTCAGCAAACAGACTGAAGTGATTTAAAAACCTCTTGACCAGTTCAGTCAGTGGAACCAACTAAAAATTATTCACACTGTGGCATGCGTAGTCGTTCATAGTTACAGGTGCGATTTTATTACGCCATTCGGAAACTGCCTTATACTCTTACAGAATGAATATCTCAGTATTTTGATGTGGTTGTGTTCTCTGAGCTGGATAGTTAATTCACGAAGCTTTCATCGCCCTACTAGGCAACATATTCAGCGCATACTTCAATTGTAACAACTGCGAAAAACACTACATTGGCCAAAGTCGGCGTCCCCTTCGTCATCTTATCCCCGAACATAAGCTAGCTGTCAAAAGACATGACATCCATTCCCTCATATCACTACATACAGACAACCACGGACATCAATTCGACTGGGACAACGTTCAAATATTAGACAGAGGAAACACCAAGAATGCTAGAGAATTTTTAGAGGGCTGCCTGGTATTTCAGTGAATTGTCAATCAATAGACACATCGAAGTAGAAAAAATTTACCAACCGATAAGAAGGGAATCTCACACATAAGGGGTCAAAGTTCAAGCCAAAGAAACAAACAGTTCCAATAGAAGTAGCCTAGGTGTGAAAACACACAAAAACAAGTTCACCCACCAGGAGAGATGATTAATAAACTCGTGAAGAAATCTTAAAGCTCACTTCAACACATTGAAGTATGCGCTGAAGATATTGCCTAGTAGGATGATGAAAGCTTCGCAAATAAACTATCCATCTCAGAGAACACAACCACATCAAAATCACCTACGTGATCGAAAAATCTTCTCCATCATATCTTTACCTCAGTATGCTGCACCAATATTATTACCTTGTGTTCCAGGTTGAACAGAGGACTTCCACAGAACATGTCCATTTTGTCCTATTCACTGCGGTCCTCTTCATTTAATCCCACGACGATTGCTTATGAGCTCTTATCTCCTTCATGTCACCTTCACACACAGCTAACTCACCGTTTCCCATTCTGGTCCCACTAGAGGGCCTCGTTCGCGATGTCATTCAATGATCTCCTCACTGTGTATCCGATGAATCTTTAGTTTCTAAGACATATTTCTATAGCAATAGGTTGTTGACTGATTCGTTTCCAGAGTCTTTCAATGTTAATTCTTTCTAGCTACTTGATCTTCATTATCGAACAACGATAGCTGTCAATAGAGGCCTGAAGTTTGCTTGAAGTATATTTTCCTTGAGACGTCTTTGCTTCCAATTGTAGTTGAAAGGATGGTACCCAGATAAGTGGAAATAGTGACCTCTTTCAAATTTCTTCCTTTCATAGTGGTTGGTGGGGCTTGTGGTTGTTCGTTGGCTGGATATGTTCATCATCACCTCCATCTTCTCTATGTCCACATGAAAACCTACATTCGCTGTCTTCGTTTCAGCCAATAGGTCTTCAAATTTATGTGAAATCAGACACAAATCATTCGTTAAGTCCAGATCACTTAGACTCTTTTTGTTAGTTCGACGTATGCCTATTTCATCGCTACCCACTGTCTTTTGAACAATCCAGTTGACCAAAATTAGGAATATTATTGGTGATGTGTTGCCCTACATTCATCACAATCTGTTTATCGCTAAAATACTTACTGCAAAGAACACCTGATTATATATACTACAGAATAACTTGAGTATTTGGAAGCCACCCACCACATAAAGCAGTGGTGCTTTCTGGTTGGCCGAAGGGCATTTCGGTCGTTTGGACCTCCACTCATCAGCAATAAATCCAGTCATAGTCTTCATTTGCTATATTGCTAATTCTCTTGATTCCCAAAGGAAAGTTTGGTGAATTCTTACGCAATAAGAATCAGACTACTTAATACACTTATAAGTAGTTTGGTAATCTAAGACGAAATACGACAGGCTAGTTGAATTGAAATTGATATATTTCTTCGGCCGTATCTCTTAAAGAAGTTTAAACTGATCGGGAAAACGGCGGTATTTCCTGTTTTCACGAATATGTCCTAAAAAATTATTATTATTTTTTTGAGACCAACCAGCAGACTACTCAGATCATCAGTTTTCTTTCACATTTACACATTACGACGTTATATTTACCCTAGATTGATGCATTTCATAAGTAGTATATAAGATATTGATGTAGATGTTCAGCAATGTAAATATATTTTGTTTTAACTGCACATGAAGTAATAATTCGCAAGAATAATGAAAAAGTGGATAAACGTAATAATAATGACCCAAATTACAGATTTTTTTTACCTACATCGTTCTGAAAAGTAAGTATACTTCGTGAATGAATAGTAATAGTATTAATAATAATAACAATACAAAATTGTGGCATATACAAGGATATAATATATTATCTAATATTACTTGACAAGTACAAGAAAGAACACGAGATCACACAAAAAGGAGGGATAGACAGAAAGAGAGAGAGGATACTGATGTGAGCATTCATGTTTGCATGTGTGTGTGTGTGTGTTTGAAGGAACTGGCCAATTCTACAGATTGACCGAAATTCCTTTCCATAATGGAATGATTCCGAAGAAAAATATAGACCTATTAATAATAATAATACATTGTTTCTCGAAAAACCCGCCACATCTTGTCAATGTTCAATAGTAGAAAAAGCGCCTAACTCAAACTTTAACAAGTACATAGAAGCAAAACAAAAGAGTTAATGAGAATAAAAGTTGAGAAATTAAACTCAAATGAAAAAATACAAACAACAATAGTTATTTGAGTCACTATTAGGCTCCATCTCAGTTGTCCCTCAATTTTCGTTAAAGTAAAGCAAAAATCTTTAATGTAAATAATGTATTTATCTATCTATCTATCCATTTATCGATTTATCACAGTCCCATAACACCAAACATCACGAAAAGAAATATGCGATTACATAATTAGTGAGTGAGTGATTGTGTGAAAATCAGTGCATAAAGAAAGTGTACGAGTACAATATAAGGGTGCATCTGTGTGTTTGTATGTGCGAATGTACGGGTTACCTGCATGATTGCATAACCATGTTGTTTCCTATATATATATATTACTAAATTTCATATGGCCAGTAGTATAACTATACTACCATGAAGACAGACTCTTAAATAATAATAATAATAATAAACACCATAAAAACAACAAAGTTAGTGAGTTCAGTTCACTTTTTGTCAGGGAATTTAAAATTGATGCCCTTTTCATCACTCGGTAAACAAACAGGAAAGAAAAGGCAGGAGTGGAGGCGTATTACATTAAAACAAACCTTAAATATACCCCTGATTATTAGACACACAAAGGGTGAGAAAACAAAACCAAAAACACGCAACAAACCAAGAAAAAAAAATAAAAATTTCATTTACAGAATAAAACTTCTTTTTTTAGAAAAAACAGAGAGAAGAGGAGAAAGGCGCTTTAAACAAAATGGAATGGATCTATGTACATAAAAAAAGAAAACGGTATAATCCATTGAAACGAAACAATATCACGATGATAAACGAAAATATAAAAAAAACAAGTTTGAACTTTCACAATTAATTCTCTCGGACACGTTTATCTTTCACTGATATTGCCAATCGAGAATTAATTGATGATGAATTCATAGGATTGTTATCATTACTGCTACTATCTATACTACTATTATTAGTAGTATTAGTAGTATGATTGTTGTTATTATCAGTAGATTTATTCTGTTGATGATTATCAGCAGATCTGCGTAGATTCGGTGTAAAAGAATTTGCATTCGGTAGTTTAATTTCGCTTGATATATCAGCAAAACTAGGACGTTTCTCAGGTTCTTCACTCCAACAACGATTCATCAATGTACGTAACCATAATGGCATTAAATCTGGCGCAGGTAATCGGTAACCTAAGAAACGATAAATAAATAAACAAACAAACGAAAAAGACGATTTGTTTATGCTTCTGAATTCAGTAAAGTGACACATTCAGGTATTAAATTCATGTGTGAAGAAGAATCCTAAAGGAAAGCTGTCATTTTTACACATCCTAATGACAAAAAGACCAAGTAGTAGGGTAGTATAAAAGCGAATTGGCATAAGAAAAGTATACCATTCAGGCACTGGGACCCGATTCAATGGCTCATAAATTCTAACTTCTACCAATTCGTGATTTTAGCGCGACCCCAACCATTGTCGTTGGTGGGACATCCATCCACACACGTGACATCTAATTGGACCTCATTCTCACAAGAACTCCAGGAAACTCCATCCTGTAGTAAGTTACTAGCGAGCATCAGATTAATTTTCTATAGTTGGTTTGTAAGGATTAGTTTTGTTTTTACGAGTTGATCACGGATTGAAATCAGTTAGAGAACCATTGAAAATCAGTCAGGGAGTACTGGACAGACAGCTGTTTCATCCTAGTTTGGGATGGTATACGAGCTTACCTTGTAACCCGAAGGCCCTGCGTTCAAACCCTGGCAGTGGGTGCGTACTGCCGATGATTCCCAAACTAGGCTGGGGAAACAGCTGTCCAGTACTCCAGTGCTGGTTTCCAATTGTTCTCTGACTGATATCAATCCGTGATCAACTCATAAAAATAAGAAAAGTACTTGAACTGGTCAACATACAAATTTTCAAAGCTTTATTCCTCTTTGATATGAAAGAAATTTGATTAAAACCCTTACCTAAAGGAGGATCAAAGCTATTTGTTCAGAAGATGCCATTGAAGATGAACTAAAGACTATATTATTATTATTGTTTTCCTAAGTTCTTAGAGGAAGATAGGGCTTCAGCCACACGTCTCTATTGCGTTCCGTTCCCTGCCAACATTTTCAATACCTCGCTCCACATCTGCCCACATGTTTTCATCTCCTCTTCACATCACCTTCTCCATGACACCGTCTCACTGACGACCAACTCACCGCTTCCCATTCGGGTTCCACTAGAGAGCCTGGCGTGTGATGTCACTCGATAGCTTCCTCAGAATATGGCCAATCCACCTCCATTTCTCTCTGCTTATTTGTTTCACAATTGGTTTCTACTGGGTTGGTTCGCTTATTGACAGAGATCATTGTTGCTCATCTTTTCTGGTCGGCCATCTGATCTTGAATAGTATTGAGCGAAGACAGCTGTTGATGAAGGTCTGTTCTTAACTTGACTTTCTGTTTCAATTCCAGTTTAGATCTGTTCAATGGTATCAATTATGTTGCGTCACTCAATTACTTTATTTGATTTCACTTTAGTCTCTATCAGGTTAATGTTTTGCGTATTACGCAATTTTCTTTAGAATCTCAGGATTATTATTTAAAAACCAATAATTTTAATAAAACGTCTTTCAAAACATTCCCCTTGTTATTAACAAAATCTATTATATATATATATATATATATATATATATACATATATAATGCAATTGTATAGATTACGAATGGTGTTATTGAAATAGTAAGTACAATCACTAATGAGGTTCAACTGAATGATGAGCCTTGAATTTTGACGAAACACAGGCTATATTACTACGAAGGGGAAATCTGTCGATGAGATTGTGAAGTTACATCGATTGAGATAGTTACGACATGTGTAAAGCATGCATCCCTAGCTATCACCTTCTTCGACGAGCATTATTAGTTGACATAGGGGATCAGGTGGTCAAACGAAAACATGAAATCACTCCATGTAGGGGGGTGTAGACTGTGCGGCTGGTTTGGGTCCTGGAGATTCCAAGAGCCGACAGCTAGAGTCTACAGGTGTTATGCCTCAAAATCGTTCCCATTGATGGCGCAGATGCATTCACCCTTTCAGGATTTGAAATGCCCAAAAACACCCCTATTGCTTCTCCATGCTACTATTCTATCTCCCTCACATTTCTGTTTAGTATTGTTCTTCTTTCGAATCTCTTTTGTCTTTCTTTTTGTGGTACACATGAAGTGTGGCAACTCGAACTGCAAAGTTCTATGCTGGAACCAGTCAGTCAGTTATTCGGTTACTATTAATAGTCATGAAAAGAAATGCCTCTACACACACACACACACAATCAGTAAAGTGATCTGATCTGAAACCACCACCTACCTGATTCAATCATATCTCTTGTCTGTTGATTTGACCAATTCCTGTATGGAATATCACCAAATGTAAATATTTCCCATAAAAGAACACCATATGACCAAACATCACATTTAATAGTATAACGACCTGTACGAAGAGCTTCAGGAGCAGTCCATTTGATTGGAATTTGACCACGTTTATCACTTAACTAGGTAAAGAATATGAAACAAAGTAGAATGTTCGAAGAATATAGTTAATAATGGTAATAATAATAATTTGCTTTATTCCAATGCATTACTTAGCATTTGGTACAATATTGTATCTCATTCACTCAACAAAAACAAAAGAATATTAAAGTGTTGGTTTGTAGGGATTTGATTGGTAACAGGATTTCATCATGAGCTGACATTAGTTAGAGAACCACTGGAAAACCTGGGAGAACTGGACAGCCAGCTGCTTCGTCCTAGTTTGGGACTCTTCAACAGTACGCACACACCGGGATTCGAACCCAGGACCTTCTGGTTACAAGGCGAGCTCGTATACCATTAAGTCACCGGGACCCGATCCAATGGCCCATGAATTCTAACTTCTGCCAATTCACGACATAGCACGTTGCGCGTTACAGGTAACCGAAATTGATAATAGCAACACTATCTCTATCACACAGAATGCGTCAGGATGGGTCAAATAAGGGGTATCCTTAAGTATTTGTACTTGGTTGTGCGTACGAGCATACCAATCTTTTATAATGACTTCAAGTTCAACCTGATAAGATGCAAGGAAGAGGATGGTTTTGTGAATAGGGAGGCAGAGTGTTGAGAGTTGTCAGAGAATACGGATTTAGACCATTTCTCATATGAGTTGCTCAAGTATCTGTCGACTATGATAGTAACAAGGTGATTGACTTAGTAGTGGCACACCACCTGTCCTAGTGAACAAACTTCAATATCCCTCAAAATATGACTGACATATAGTCCTTTTTGAGTAGCCGAGGAGAGATTAAGAGGGAGCAATAAAGAACAGTGGATAAGATGCAAGAGTTAACACATTGTAAAATTTGACGTTAAGTGAATACTGATTGTTTTAATCGGTGGATGGTGACGAGCAGTTGAATCCAGAACAATGCGCATTTCGTCCTATTTGGGACTCATCAGATGCATGTGCCTGCATTCCCCAGTCAGTGTGTGACGATTTTCCCATCGAGGCTCGAACCCAGTGACCATAGTTTCAAACTCCAAAGCGTTACCCACTAGACTGCTTGGGCCACGAGAGCCACTTCTTGTACAACGGGTCATATATTAATTATTTCATTGAATTTTAGATTGTCCCGTCGATTGATTGAACCGAAGTGCTCGGTCTCAGGTTGACATGTCGACTTCTTGTGCAGATGCTTCGACGATATCTGGGCATTTAATTAGAAGTTAATTGGTGTATGGTGACTACCTGTGGAATCCAGGACGACGTGCATTTCGCCCTATTTGGGACTCGTCCTCCAGCCGGGGATGCACCTGCATTCTGACTGGTTTAACCTTCTAATGTAGAAGATTTTGTTCGAAATCGACAAGATATGGGATGATTGACGATGATGAAGAAAGATGAGACGATAGAACTATCCCAACGTATTTTCATCCCCAACTTGAGAGAATCGTATTCACTTAAAATGAATTTAGACTTCATCACCAATCGATATCAGGTAGAGAATAATTGAAAACTGAAGAGCATTATGAGATTCATTGGTGACAGCTGTTGAAGAGTACTAAACTGAAACGAAGCAGATATATAGTGCTCCTTGGTTAACAGCAGCAAATTCTCAACTAATGTCAGTTTGTGACCGAATCTATCTTAAAGCCAGCCAAAATCTTGGTGCGCTACATGGAGAGAGTGGCAACTCAAACCATTGCACATCTGTGCAATGTTCTACGTTAAAACCAGTCAGTAAGTCAGTCACCGTAGAATCTGATGTGCAGCAAGTTATCGAAAAGAATGTCCTCTGTTGATATAAGCATAAAACTTCGGCACTGTGGTAGCGTATAACTCCATTATAGATAAGATTTTATTTTGATAAATCACACAGTGATGTTTTACAGGAATATTAACTGATGATCACGTTTCGAGCACAAATTATTCACTGCTTATAATCATATTAAGGTACTCACACTCATTTATTTAATTAGTTAAAAAAAACACACGCACACAAAACAAACGACTACTTGTTAACTGAACTGTACTCACTTCATAAATATGCTCTTCTCTAGACATTCCAAAATCTGCTATTTTCAATTGCCCATCATCTGTAATTAAACAATTTCTTGCGGCTAAATCACTAAACAAGGTAGAAAAACAGAAGGCAAATAAAAAGAAGGCCATTGAAACATGAATAATTGTAAGTTATATTTTAGAGTAATGTTATAACCAGAACTACGACCTAGTAGTAGACAATGGGCGAATACTAACTTTAATGCGCTGGCTAATCTGTCCTAATCGCACGTCAACAACAACAGGAACAACGACAATACCTCCGGGTCGCATAAGACATATGAGAAGACTGGACGTTGGGTAAGAGAGCTTTTACTATCTCAAAACAGCAGTCGAGTAAGGTTTGCAGAGCTTGCATATGTATGTATATATATGTTTAAAATGACCTTGAGAAGCACTAATGTCATTGATTGAATTAAGACAGTGAACAACCAATAGAATTTCAAAGGTCATAAGTAGGATGAGAGAAAATCAAACCATAAATCAATAAGTGGGGTGAGAAAGAAATACAAACAGACATGTAAAAATGAGAATGTAGACAATTAGGTCTATATATATCAAGCAAAGAATTCATTATAAGACCAAAAGCTATCAATTCCTCCTTACACGACCATTTCTATGTCATCCTCAGACGCCCAACCGATAGTTTCTCATTCGGATTCAACCTAACGGTTTAAAGCTGACGTTACTTAACCATCTCCACAGTATGCGTCTGATTCACCTCCATTTCCTCCTACACATATTTATTGATCAGTATGTTGTGAGGCTGATCCTCAGCCTGCCAGAACTCCCTGTTGATTATCCTTTCTGGCTGGGCGTGTGAGTGTCTTCACCATCTCTGTATCTTCTCTATGTTTACTTGAAGTCCTATCTTCGCTGCTTGTCTCTTCCGCCCTGTATATCGTCGAGTTTGTGAGACATCCGACATAAATTACCCACGATGTCCACATCTCCCAGTGTGTTATTACCGGTCCAACTTATGCTTGTATTTCCGCTCCCCATCGTCTGTTGCATAATCCAGTTCACCAAAATCAGGGATATCATTGCAGATAGTAAGTAGCCTTGTCTTAACACATGTCTTCGCTTCAAAGGTTTGCTAAGCTTTCTTCTGTGAGTCACTTAATTTGTGGAAGCACCGTATTAATATATGTGTAAAACTTGGGCACTGTGGTAGTAAGTAATTCCATATTAGTTTGTTTATTAGATGTATCACACAGTGAAACAGTATTGTTTACTGGATGACGTTTCGAACACAATCTATTATTGTTCATAATCATATCAATTATATTTGCGTTAAACTTAGGCACTGTGGTAGAAATTAATTCCATATTAGATGTATAAGACAGTAAAACATTATTATTTGCTGCATGACAAAGTTTCGAACAAAATTTAGTGTTCATATTCATATCAATTATAATCAAACGACTTCAAAACTTGAGTTTTATAGTTTTCTTTGTTCTCTCCTATTCTTCGTCGTAGGGGGCGCAGAATTTTCCAGATATCTCGGTGGACAGGTGTTGAATTATCCCTATTCCACGTATTCTTTATGAGTTGATTCGATAAACAAAGCTTCTGTTATCAATCTCTCCCTCCACCCTGCTGTTACGTAAGATTTTAGAACTGTCATCTTATCCCATCCAGCCTATTGCATGGTTGTGTGTAATTGGGTGTAGTGAATGCTATGACTGAACTATTCTCCAGATTTCTTGTCTTATTCGGGTCAACTAATCTAGATTTTGCTAGGTTTTTATGCTCGGCTAGTCTGACTGACTGCCCATGTTCTACTACTTTGACCAATGTATTTGACTTGACAATCATTACACGCAGGGTATTAGATAAACTAAATTGTTTTGTTTTAAAGGCTCCACAGGACTGATCCTTTAACCGACAAAGCTTGTTTCAAATTGAGTTTGAGGGTTTCAGTGCCACTTTTATTCCTACCAGCATTGTTAAGAATTCTCCTTAAGGTTTCTGAGATCCCTTCTTTGTGTGGAAGTACTACTAATGATTTATATTCCCTATTGTTGGTGTTATCATTATCCTGTGCATGTTTGACATACATGTCGTCATTAATGTTACTGTTATTATTATTTTTATTATTATCACTATCACTACTATCATTATTTATTAAGTTTCAAAGCTTCTCTTATATGCTTCACTTCCTGTCTTAGATTTTCCTTGGTACTACTTAGTTTTTGTGCTCTATCACTTAAACATTTTACCAATCCTATTTTCACTGACATAGGATGGGATGATCGGAAGTCCAAATATCTGTTTGAATGTATGAGTTTCCTGTAAACACACCGTATACCTGCTGTATGAGGCTAATAAAGGTGTCCTCCGTAAAACCTGGATGTGGTGAAGAAACAACTAATTGTCAATCTGAAATTCAAGGGAGATACAATTAGTGAATGAGGTTCTTCGAAGCCGTCTGTTGACAACAATTCGAAGGACCGTTTTCCTGCATTTCTACGCTTCACCTATTCAAAACATGCTCTTGTTCACCAAAATGTCAAAGACAAGATCTTGTTGCTGGCAACTTCATTGTACATTTTACCAATTCACTTGCTCCTGTAAAGCTAAGTACGTAGGCCGTATATTAGCAGAGGCACCATTGAACACACAGAAAATTTGGAGGATGTGGACTTCGCCGATGATATATGTCTGATGTCTCACAAACTGGAAGATATGCAAGTGAAAAGCAACAAGTTGGCGGAAGAAGCATCCAGAGAAGACAAGAATTCAGCTGAACATAGAGAAAACAGAGGTGATGAAGATTCTTGGCCGACAGCGACATTAACAGCAACAACACCAGACAACAGTTAGCTAGCATAAATGGGAGAAATCTGGAAGAAGCAACCTCCTTCACCTACCTACCTACCTGGGAAGCATCGTTTCAACTACAGGCCGACGGAACTGATGAGGATATCAAAGTGTGAGGGTCGGGAAAGCAAGACAACCTTTCATTACTCTCAAGTCTGTGTGGAGATCAACAGCACAGCAAACTCAGCATCAAAAATAAGATCCGGATTTTCAACTCTAATGTGAAGTCGGTGCTACTATTCGGATCAGATACTTGACGCGTCATGAAGGGCACTTCGGACAAACCACAGATCTTCATCAACAGCTGTCTTCACTCAATACTACTCAAGATCAGATGGCCAGCCAGAAAAGATGAGCAACATGGATCTCTGGCGTTGCGCGAACCAACCCACCAGGGACCCACTGTGCAACAAATAAACAGGAAGAAATGGAGGTGGGTTGGCCATACTCTGAGGAAACAGACCATCAAGTGACATCACTAGAGAAGCACTCGAGTGGAACCCGGCCGAATGGGAAGCGGCGAGTTGGTCGTCCAAGGGTGAAATGGAGAAGGTGATGTGAAGAGGAGAGGAAAGCATGTGGGCAGACTTAGAGCCAGGTGAAAACGTTAGTAGATAACGGAACGAAATGGAGACGTGTGGCTGAAGCTTTATGTTTCTCTAGGAATTAAAGGAAACAATAATCATAATAATCTCCTTAAGTAGAAACCTGAACTTTGTGTTCAGAAACGTTTCATCCGGCGTCGCTTGTTACCAGGGCCTTAGCGCTATGTTTTATTTGTTTTTCCACCTGAATGAATGTATAATAAGCACTATGCAGTCACAATTTTATATTTTTTGCAACTCACTTTCAACCGTTTCCCCTCTTGTTTCCTATCGACTAATTCCAAATGATTATTCATCACTGAACTAATTGGTTGTCAACCCTCTCCCCCCCACTATTACGTAAGATTATCCACAATTTTCAAAACTTTGTTACCACTCACCTACGTTGATTTTTTTCACTAACTTACAACAACACCCTGAAACCTCTGTTATCAGTTAACATTCCTTTACGTTCCCAGTGGAAAATAGGGCTTGTGTTTATGTTTTACAGGATGGGGTTTCTCGCCTCATACCTAATCTCCCCCCATTTACTGAGCTTGCTAACAGCTAAGCGAAATTTAGGAGTGCATCGGCCAAGGATAGAACTCCGGAACACTTGAATTTAACTGAGTTAAACAACTCGATTTAACACAAAAAAGCAACTGCACTACTTGACATTTCTAAGAGGTTTATTTCACACAGAATTACTCGGATAGTTTTTTATCATGAAGTGAAACTAACTAAAGGAACTGCTGTGAAACAAGAGAAACACACGACATCTGTTTTTCTTTGAAGTCCATTATTTGAAAGATTTCCAACTCCTGGTATCCCTAGATTCAGCCAGAGTGAAGTAAGCTGTGGAAGGATATGACTGACAACTGATGATGGACTTCCGGGATTACCGTCGTCGTCTCTCTTTCTCTCTCTTAACTAATAGCTATAACGTGGAGGACAGCAGCGTAGATTCCCTTTCCCCCTTTCTTCACAGGTGAAGACAAAAGATAAAAACAGGAAGTAAAGGAAAAGAAGTAAGGGAGAAAACAACAACAAAATTCTTACCGATGAATACAATTCTTCATTTCTAAATAACTCATCCCGCTGGCAGCATCTAGACTCATTTTGAGCAATTTCATAACAGGTAGGGCATTTTTCGATTTACGTAAATGGTTTAAAAGAGAACCGCCTGTAAGATGGAAAAAGAGAATAATTAGTGTGAAATAGTATTGATTTTTTTTAAATATCTCACGACCGAGTGCTACTGAGGTTATGGAGTTGCCTAGATTGATAATAATGCGCTACCGCCACCACACATGACACGATAACTAACTGATCACCTGAAGAACACTGAGATAGACGCAAAAGTCGGTTTCCAAATGCGACAACAACGACAACGTTTATAACACAAAATACATGGTATATGCATAATTTACAAAACCTCAGGAATTTAAGCCATAAATCAACCAATCAAAAACTGTCCAGTAAGGTTATCATGTCGGAAGCATCCATAATTAGTAATAATATCTCTATTACAAACACTATTTTTGGTACAAATATGGAATTTTCAGCTGTATAATACAATACTGCATCTAATGTTCTCATTATAGGGGTAGTAATTAAAATAGGACATTTACCTTGAAAATAATTTGCTTGATTCGACACTAGTAACTAGTGTAATGTGTCTAGTCCTTTCTTTGGTGCAGACTGAATTCTATCAGTCAGGTTTGCAATGTGGCCACTATTCTAGGTAGATCGCCATCAAGAGTACACATTGATTTGATGATATTAGATGGTTGGAGGCAATCGGCCACAGGAAGCCCTGGACCTTAGACTAGACACATTACACTAGTTACTAGTTTCCAATCAAAGTATCCCCTACAGTCCTACAGGAGGTCAATTGCGAGCCACTGCGAATAGCTAGCTCAGTTGTAACGTCTCTGACTGCAGGCGGCACTAGGTGACGTGAGTTCGAATCTCAGAAGGGACATGAGTTGTTCCCTCAAGGTTGCAGATACGCCTTGCTGGCTGACTGGTGAGTGCCAACTAGTACGAAGTCTAGGTCAAGCAAGGCTTCCTGTGGCCGATTGCCTTCAACCATCTAAAATCATCAAATAGTATTATTAATAAGAAATGAATATAAAATAAAATCAAACGAAAATGTAATTGACAATGTAACAATGAGAGCAAAGAAAGCGCCGTTTACTTAGAGTTCCGCAGCAGGTCAGTAATTCCCTGTCTTACACTTTTCTCACCACAGAAAACGTGTGCTTGCTAAATAAGGTGGCGTAGAGTTCTGATAATTAGTCGTCCGAGCATACAGTCTTCTATAGTTGTGCTTTTAGTTCTGCCCACCTGATGAGATGCAGCAAGGAGAGAGTTGTATATGGAAAGGAGAAGATGTTCACAGTTCCCCCCTCCCCCCTATAAATGATGTAGTATGGTTAAGGGAGCGTAGACTCCGGTAATTCTTCTCGTAATAATCTGCATATAGCCACAAGTTTATAGACTCTGCCAGCTAAGTCATTCTATTTACGACATTTACTCGGCGGAGTGTCCTCACAAAAGGGGAAGACCGAATACAAATAAAGTTGGCGCTAACAACCGGACTTCTGTTGGACATCGAGACCCACGTAGAGGAAATGGATAACAATGATTTCAAATCAATATTTGTTAGGAAAGACAAGCCTTCATTCTTAGCTGTAAAGTCATGATAGATATGCATGCTTCTGATATCATAACCTGATTGGATAGTTTTTGATTGGTTGATTTATGGCTTAAATTCCTGAGGTTTTGTAAATTACACATACCATGTATTTCGTTTGATAAAACATTGTTACATGGTTGAATCTGACTTTTGTGTCCATTTCAGTGTGTATGTGTGTGTGGAGGCGCATAGGAGTAAAGTTAGACGAACGGATAACCTGGTATTACCATAGTGCACATTGCCTCCAAAATCTGGAAAAATTAAATGGCATGCAGGCCTATTTCAATCATTGGAAACCATGAGAAGGCAACCCCTGATACTGCTCTGCTGCTATGTAGGTCCACTAGTTATGGACAACAGTATCCTGAATCAAATGTATGACGCACAACAACGCTTCTTACAGAGACATAACTCTAAAGACTTTTGTTCAACATTTAGTGCTTCACTTCATGTGTATGGTGGTCACATTGTTCTTCTAATTTACCCGATTTTCTGTGTATATATAGGCCGATAAACGCAGATGGATACAGGAAGTTAGTATTGGCTTAAATTGTTAAATCGGGAATCATCCGGTTTTAGATTTGTTCTGTATAGCTTTGAATTCAACCTGAAGTCATTTTGACTACTTAAACGTTTCTAAGTAGTATACGATTATTAGTTAGAAAACGATAGAGACATTGGAAACCAGGCGGTGGCGGATAGTTATTTCGTCCTAGTTTGAGACTTTTCCACGGTACACAGTCATCACCTCCCTAGGGATCGAACTCAGGCGCTTCAGGTTACGATGTAAGCCCATCGAAGATTCGACTACTAGGATGGAATCTAATGGCCGACCCATGAATTTTAACTTATGCTAATTTGAAACTGTATACCACTATCGATAGCCAGTGTTGTCAGCAGGAATTTGTCAACACACGTAAACTGATGAACTCTGCACGATTTCTGATTAGAACTCCAGGAAATCTCATCCTCCTGTAGTTGTTAGTCATTAGTGAGGAGTTGATGCATTTTCGAGTGTTGGTTTGTACAGACTGGCTTGATTTCAAGTTCGACCCCCCCGTCCTAGTGTAAGGCCATAAGTGCGTACTGCGGAAGAGTTCGAAACTAGGACGAAATGGTTGCCCAGTGTGACGTGGCTACTTCAAAAAACGACAAAAGGTGTGAAAAGAAAAAAACACCGACCCCACCTGGAACATATTCCATAACAATCATAATTGGATAAGATTGAACAGCAATACCGACAAGTTTAACAATATTTGGATGATTGAAATTCAATGCAGTTGTTTCACCTTGGAGAAATTTTTGACGTAGATCAGACGCGGTCATATCAACACGACATGTTTTCACAGCAACTTCACAGCCATTATAAACACCACGATAGACATCACCAAAATTTCCCTAATTTAACACAAAATGATTTAAAAGGGTTAGAAGAATGAAATTTTTGAAATCAAGTAATCAAATATGCATCTATCTTTGTACGCAGAAAGTTGTTTGTTGTTTCGTCCTATTCTAGTACTCCTCAGCGATGAGCAGCCACTAACTCAGCAGGGATCGAACCCATGTCAAGGTCAAGGGAATGCCCATTGAAGGCATTGCAGAAGGCGGAGGTGAAGGCTGCGCCACATCACGAGATGACAAAGTTGGGATTTAGAAGTCCATCTGAATTCCAACTCAAGCGGTTGAATGGTCACAACTAACTTAGTCTGATGAATTGAATATCCCGAATTCGATCCCTGGCAATGTATTGGGTGCTCTCTGAAGAGGAGCCCCCCAAATGGGACGAAACAGCTGTTAACTGTTCTCTGGTCCCCAGTGATCTCTCTAACTGATGTTGGTTCGTGATGGAAATCTAACAACAACTGAAACTAATCTAAAAAATCCCCATAAATCGTAGAATCTAAATGATAATGGAGTGGATTTTAGTTCAGGTGGATATGTTTTCTTGTGGTTATGCTGTTTGAGCTGGGGAATTTAACTGCAAAGGCTTGCAGTGTCTTTCTAGACAGCATCTTCAGAGTTTACTCCATACTGAACATGATACTATATGAAAAACAGAAAAAGTTTCTCACAGAATTTTTTGCTAGGTTGCATCTCTCCCAAACACAGATTTTGTATATCTGTAATTACTGGGTTTTAAAACAGACGGTGAGAGGTGCAGCTGCTGAGACTGAAAATGACCTTGTGTCAACAGTTCAGTGGTACCAACATTGCAAAGACATCGTCTCACGGAAAATGGAGAGAATTACATCGTTGTTGGGCAGAGAAGGTGTCGTCGTACACGTGGACGAAACTGTGTTACTGAAGAAAAAAACACAACCGTGGTCATGAGCGAGCCGACAATGTTTGAGTGATCGGTTTATATGACACCTCCCTACGGAAAGGTTCGTGGAGAGAAAACCAGAAAGAAAGTCAACTGCTTTAATACCTATTATTACTAGACTTGTGAAACAGGGATCTTATACATATATTTTCTCTCTCTCCCTGACCTCCCCTTGTTGTTTGTTGCCACTTTCCATGTCTCCGGTATATATAGGTGTTACATCATTCCGATTGCACGTGTGTGGTATGGAATCGGTAAACAAAGCCTCAGTGATTAACTTCTCCCTTCTATCCACCTAACTATATTAACCTTCAATACTCTCACCCTGTCCCACCCTATTTTTTTGATTACATGAAAGTACAATGGCTGAGCTCTGCTGTTTCTAGGTCATTTAACATAAGAGTCAATTATTCCAGGTCTAGCTAAAGTTTCATGTTCCAGTAATCGATTTGACCCCGATCTACTAGTTTGACTCACCTATGGAATTGACCTCACAGTCAAAATTATATAGTATTTGGTAAATTGTATAATTTTTCTTAATTGGATCTATTGGGCGAGTCCTCAAGCCAACAAAGTTTATCTCTGAGAGAGTTCGTTGGTTGACGGATTTCAATGCCACCCTGACTAATTCCAGCCCCACTGAGAATTCTACTTAAAGCTTATAACCTTCTTTCTTTATACGGCAGTATTAAAGAGGCTTTGAATTCTATATTACTTTCTTCGTTATTTTTATCACTAATCTGTATTTTCTGTGGTTCTTCATACATTTCTGTATAAATTCTAGTGGGTAGTTAGTTGTTCACTGGTAATATTTCCTTTATTTGTTTGATTTTATTATTTAAATCTTCTGGTTTACGAGTTAGTTAGGCACTTGACCAGATTAAACACCCATCTAACTAAACCCATCTTTACCGACTGTGGATAGACTGAATTAAAGTCCAACTATTTATTAGGGTGTGTATCGGTTTCCTATAAATGCTAGTATCTAACTGCCCACCATCTTGTTTTCGTTTTATTCTGCAGTCTAGCATGGCCAACTTACTCTGCTCATTTTCTAACTTAGAAGTGAATTGGATTCCGTCTACTATTGAGTTTATATGTATGTGAAAAACTGAGTATTATGTTTAGATTTCAACACACTGATGGAATGTGTCATCCACCATAACCTAGGCAGAAGGATTAAGCCTTCTAAGAGCCTTATGTTCCCAACTAACGATAAATATGTTTCCTACTATATTGCGGATATTGATGATCCCATTTCCATTAATCATAGAGAAACGCGGTCGGTCAACACGCGTAACTCATTTGTCCTAGCCATCTCATTCGATTTAGCTCCACAACTACATCGATCGCCTTACTCTCCTTTCCTAACACTAAACGTTTAGTCTCAACATTACTCCCCACATTATACAACGTAACATGAGCAAAGAATATCCTTTTCGATAATTTCCTCTTCTGGCTATACAATTACATATTTGCATGTTTATATACATAGAGAATATTCTAGAATAGTAGTCAATAACAATATCAGTGTTTTTCAAATAATATCGATTTGTCAAGTAAGATCACAATGGAATTACAGTTCATTAAAGATGCTTAAATTATAATAAAGATATAATAGCAAGTAGAATGCCAACTAAAATTAGGAAGATTCCACAAAAATTCAGGGTCATTCGAATCTAGATGACCAAGGTAAGGGTAATGTCTGAACTAGCTTCTTTTGGACACATAAATTAGGCTTCTTAATGTCGATCCCAACGGCCAGCCTCAGCAGTATTTAGGAATCGAACTCTTAAGGTGAAATTAAGATATGTTGGTATGTGGTAAATGACTTTGAAAGTCGCCTTGTTTACATCAATCTTGTGTTCTGTATCCGCAAGATGAGATGGAATAGCGCTGCGAATAGATTTTCTTTGTCCTTTACTTAACCAACCATGCATGGTGATGTTCGGAAATCCGACGAGAAACACGCCTAATTGTACGGCCTATGCAACTAACTGGCTCACTCCACAGGAGCAGTTAAATTGGTTGATACACATGGAAGAGGCGAAATTAGGCAGGCACTTTATCTTTTATTCCCGAACGGAAAAGAGTGGTTTTGAAGACACAGCGCAATTCAGCAGCAGGGAATGCTCCTTTTACCGCATTTCTAAGGGGCTGTGTTGATATCTCGCTGATGTTGTCCCCAAAGAAATGCATTTGTAAGAATAAGGCCTTCCTTTTTAGGAACTGTTGGTACCTTGGGCTGCTTTGATTTTAGATTCATGTTCTTATCAATAAAATTTTCTGGATAACCATTTTCACTCAGCAACCGTTTAATATTATTAAATTCCTCATCAAGACAATCATCTGAGCAGATTGCTTTTGCTCTGTGAACCAATCACTTTATCAATCAGATTGCGTTTGTATTTCAAAGGCACAAAGCTGAAAAAATGAGTATACTGACCCGTTGATGTAGGTTTTCTATACACCTCTACAGTCAAAGAAAAACATCTCCATTAAATTTCCAGAAATATCCCCCTAGTATGTGTAAGATTTAACAAGGTAAAAATTCAAAAGATTCCATGCATTTTACTTTGTTTCCAAAAGGTGAAAGTGGGTAGATGTGTTTAAAAACAGTATTTCATGTAGATTACAACATACCTGACCAATTTTTTGCAACAATTGTACATCACGATTGTCTAATTCCCAATCAGGTCTTGATATTGGAGTAATAAGACAAGCGCCTGATTTAGCTGTCACTGGAGTTTGAGTTTTCATATGATACTCGACTAATTCTCTAAAAATAAATAAATAAAATTAAAAAGTCGTATAAGAAGTCAATGGTGAAGTTAAACTTTAAGCACTGAAAAGTAGGAACATATTAGTAACAAGAAAAAGGCGGTTTTTATGCATAAATATAAAATAAAATAGGCATGGAACTTGATAATATTAGATAGTTGGAGGCAATTGGCCACAGGAAGCCTTGGACGTTAGACTAAACACATTACACTAGCTACTAGTGTACAATCGAAGTATCCCCTACAGTCCTACAGGAGCCCGAGCTCAGTTGTAACGTCTCCGACTGCAGGCCTCACTGGGTGACGGAGGTTAGAATCTCATAAGGAACATAAGTTCCTTCAAGGTTGCAGATAGGCCTTTCTGACTGACAGGTGAGTGTCAACTAGCATAACACCTGGGTCGATCAAGGCTTCCTGTGGCCGATTACCTCTAACTATCTGATATCATCAAATCAATGTGCACCGTGATGGCGAGCTACCTAGAGTGGTGGCCACATTGTAAACCTGAGTGATAGAATTCAGTCTGCACCAAAGAAAGGACTAGACAAGTCACACTAGTTACTAGTGTGCAATCAAGAAACATAGTATTTTAGCCCCAATTACCACAAAGTGCAATACTACAATTTGGGCGATACTGCTTGGACAAGGGGAGGTGGGGCAACGGACCTGCCCCAGATAGGGTACCCAGACGACAAAAGTCACTACTTAACCTCTTATAATCTATCATATGTTTTATTGAATACCAATAGTGAACTCGTCAACATATTCACTACGAAATATTCAGTTATTCGAATATACCCTCAAATGATTAGTAAATGGTATCACACTACTTATAAGTAGCTTAAAGTGACATGTGAAAATTTCCATTATGTACAAAAAGTACGCATCTAATAAGGGGTTTTAAGTTTGATCAAGGATTGATATCAGTTAGAAGAACATTGAAAACCAGCAGGGATTATCTGACAGCTATTTCGTCATAGTTTGAGACTCATCCAAAGTATGCACTCACTGCCAAGGTTTGAACCTGTGACCTTCCGGTATCAAGGCGACCCATCTCGTAGACTATTCAGTTAGTCACTGCGACGCGACTACTCAATGACCCATGAATTCTAACTTCTACCCAGTGGATGCGTATCGGCAAAGAGTCCCAAACTAGGACAATTCAAACCCCGTAAACACCAACTCCTGAAGGGTTCAGCAAAGAAAGCCCTAAATAAAATTAATATCACATGCATATAAATTGAGATCTTTTCAGCATTACTCACGTGAGCTTGGGAACTAGAGTATTCAGCCTTTAACATGAAAATTATGCACAAATTAAGTGGAGGCAATTATCCCTTGTCATAACTATATGTTGATATGAGACAGTCTAACTTTGATTTCAAGAACGGGGGGATCCCACTGAACTAAATGCAGGAGAGAAAAAAGCAGTTTAATGAGAAGTCGGATTATCACACCCCATCGACGTAAAGGTATCAGTTGTTTCAAGTCTCTTTAGACAAGCAGACTCTCTGATAACGGATGAGAAAGAAAAAGAAGAAATATCAAACATTACTAAAAGCAAAACAACTACCCAAGGGACTTCATCAACAAAATCAACACAGACATTAAGTATGGCCGAAAACGTATTCCAAAAACATGGACCTCAACAGTTGTCATTCCATATAGAGCAGAGACATCAGATGAAATCAGAAGAGTACTCAGTCGGCTCGACATTAGAGTTTTCTTTAAAACATCAAACACGCACACTAGAAAGCAACCTTATCTATTCAAAAGACTAAATCCCTAAAGATTCTCTATCTAATTGTGTCTATAAAATAAAATGCTTGGAATGTGATGCGATATACATCGGGCAAACATCTCGAGAAATTAAAATCTGAAGAAATGAACACAGTAGAGCATCTCTTCGACCACCGAGAAATCCGGTTGAGCTAGAAAAACTTGAAAAATCATCACGCTATAGAATCGGGCCACAAAATTTATTTTGACCATATTGAAATAATGCAGAAAAAGCATTTCAGAAATCACAAAGAACATCTAATATTATCAGAAGCACTTCATATCAAATGGAATCCAAATTGTCTGAATAGGAATGATGAACTAAAACAGAATTTGACCTGGTTACAACACCCCACCGCTCCCCCGTGAAGTGACAAAATCAACACGAATGCGATAAGCAATTCCACTATGTAAATATACGCTGATCATACAATTTTACATGCTTATCAAATCCAGCAATCTACACCTGATTTTGTTATCTTTACCAATTAGCCAATTTGACAACGAAAAATGACCCGAGAGTGACGAACGATGATGAAGTTAGTAAACTTTGTTTTGATACTGTATCAGATGTACTATTACGTTTGATATTTGGTTTAGTGATCTTCAATGTTATTGTGACTTTCAATATGTCCTTTTAATATGACCTAAGTTTATTTTCTCACCTCTTAACCCTTTGTTATATATATACTGGGATTTTGTAAATTCTGGCTTATTAATACTTTGATAAAGCTATTAGCAGCAGCATTAAATAGCGGAACGTCCGTAAAAACAACAATATCGTTTCGTCTCTTTCATTCATTGGGAAATATAAAAAAGAACCTTTATTATAATAAGTGAAAAACACACTGTCTACCTGATCATACCTACTTACCTAATTGTTGAAAAATAACCATCTTCTAAGTGCCAACCTTCACCAGAACTTCCGCCACCATACAGAATAAAATGTCGATGACCATGCCAATAAACTGACAGGACCATACGTAGAACAGTTGCATTGGAATGAATATCTTTATTCAGTGTTCCATCATGATGACTTCCACCGCCGTTGAATACATCACCACCCACACCACCACCACCATTCCATGTTGTAAGTGTATCACGACCACTGGCACGTTTACTTGTCTGACGGACAAGAAAATCACCTTGATTTTGTAAAAGGCTTCACATTGAATAAAAAATAAGAAAAAAGCAGAGATTTGTTCAATTTGACAGTTTGAATGCTTTTCACAAGAGCAATAGTTAACCAATGCATTCATTCTACCTTATCGCAAGTTGCACATAAAAATCCATGAAGGCTACGACGACAACTATCCTTGAAAGTTCATACATTTATTCCCCTTAATGAATGTGAACAAAGCAAGAACTACAGTTTTAGCAGAATAAAATGGTACCATCTTTTATTTCGTTGCCTTCTCGTCAGCTGCTTACAGAGCAGAGACATTATTAAATGTATCTACAAAAACAATTTTAACATACTTGCACAGAGTTCATTTTAAACAAAGATCAATCGATCAATATACGCATACACTAATTATATATATATATATATATGTAATATTAAACACTATTCCGAAACAACAATAATCATACACAATGGAAACTTTTCAGCATTTCGCATTCGGATGAAAGAGAGATGAAAAATATCTAGTTACCAGGGCAAAGAAAGACTGATAACCGCTTCTTTCTAGACGCAATAATCATGTTTCAGGCGCTGGATGGAAATGGCTTCAGCAAAATTGAGGAGAATTGAGCTCTTTTGCCTATGGATAATTTTGAACGACTTTTCGATGTTCACCTCATGCCCCGTGTCGAGGAGATGCCTGGCGATGGCACTGTTTAATGCATTTGTTCCCTTTAGACGTAAGCTTTTTGGTACATGTTCAGAAAATCGTAGATATGCCCTTCTTTTTTCTGTCCTTCCAATGTAACTGCTCCCGCAGATGCATGTAAATTTGTATATACAGTTGGAGTTAACATGAGAAGGATATCTATCGATTTTTGATTGCACCAAAGAACAAGTTGTTCGATAGACGGGAACGAGCTTGGCTGCAGGATAGGCTATAGCTAGTGATGTACTCAGCCTTCTGTTGACCATCGCTGTAATGTTTTCACCTTTATAATCAAGTTGAATGTAGATTGGCTTTTTCTCCACTGTGATTTGTTTTACATTTGTGACTTCAGATTTCCCATACTTGCTGATGAACCTTTGAGGGTACCCATTGCTCTTCAACATCTTTTCCAGAAACTCAAATTCTTCCCCTAATTTCTCTATAGAGCATATTCTCCTCGTTCTGTAGTAAAGAGTCTTGACTAGACCACGTTTAAAGCTATTCGGACAAAAGCTATTAAAATGTAAGTATTGTCCTTTCCATGTAGGCTTACGATAAATTGACTTTTGAAGACTACCGTCTTCTAGGCGTTCCATCGCGATGTCGAGGAAGTGCAAATTTCCGTCACTTTTATGTTCCATAGTGAACTCAATCTTTGAAAGTTCTACCAAAACAGAGAGAGATAGGTTAGATGACGACAAGACTGAAAAATTTTGTAACTATTTTGAAATAAACAGTGAGGCCTTCAGAGTAGAATAATACCGTTGATGATTAGTAAAGGGGCAGGATGATATTACAGTGTCCACCTGGGACAAATAATTAGTTATATGACCTTTCTATCTAGGCCAAGTATCACGACCCAGGAAGTGCGAACGCTCTAATGATCTTGAACGCATGCTAGTCGTTGGATGGTGGGGCATGTCATTATTTACAGCGCTAATATGATGAACGCTATTCACCAGCTAAGGAGCAAAATTCACCCAGATCATATTTTTAGGTACTGTTTGGACTAATGGATCGACAGTGCATAGCCGTAAATGTTCTTGTTTTGCTTCTCTGTGTACCTGCATAGGTGTTCAGAAACTAACGACGGAGATGTGTATTTAAGTGGACACAATGTAAGAAACGAATAAGTGTTCGTACTGGTTAGTTAGACACCCAGTTCATTGATTTCTAGGAAGCTTCTTTGCTAAATCGAAACTACTTTTGACGAGTTTTAGACATACCAAGGGGTGGCGAAATCAAGGGGTTAGAGGTCATCAAAACCATTAATAAATACATGTTAGTAACAAGAAATCTAAGTTTTGAAGAAGGAAGCGCTGAAAATCAGTTAAATACGGAATTCAAGATAAGTTAATTCTTAGGTATTAGCAACAAGCTATTACATAATCGAGAAATCTGTAAATAATGACGACTCAGAAGAATTACGTAAAACAAAAGCAAGTTAATAGAGTTGGCTAGAATTGTAAATATACCAATGTCAAAAGATAGTTACAAGGAGAAGGGAAAAATGGTTTTCACAAAATAATACATATTCAATTCTGATTGGCTGGAGGATTTCATCATGAGCTGACATCGATTAGTGGATCGTCGGAAAACATAGGAGTACTGGACAACCGTTTCGTCCTTGTTTGGGACTCTTCATAAGTACGCACCCACCGCCAGGGTTCGAACCCAGAACCTTCTGCTTACAAGGCGAGCGAGCTCGTAGACCATTAAGTCGCTGGGACCCGATCTAATGGCCAGTCCATGAATTTAGTGAAGTGAAATAAACAGGATTATGTTAATATTATGACAAGTTTGAAGGGCGTCATATAAATGTAAGGCAACAGACAAAATAAGCAAGGTCAAGAAGTCATAAAAGGACTGAAATGAAGGTTTGTCAATGAAACAAAAGAAATAAGAAAAAACAAAAAAATTTGGATAGGAAGTTAAAGTGTTAATGTTTATTGAGGATTTGTTGGTCTTATTGTAAGCCAAGGTAAACATAGCGGTTGGACATACTTGTTCTGTACACAAAGATCATGTCTTCCGGTATTGATTACTACCACTTCAGCTACTGATAGAAGACGTAGTCAAGCTCTTCTAGACAGATTAGCCAGAACACGATAAATAATTGAGAACGCCAACTCTAGTTTTATTGAGTGTCCAGTACCTACCTACCAAGTAGACTATGACTGCACTATTCACGTATTTCGTTACTTCTTTACTCAACCATACAGGTACCTGTTTACGTGTGCGCATGGATAAAGCGCTAGGAGTACGGCCGAGATAATTAGCTAGATATGAGCAGTTGAATTCATAGATGGTGCATATTGATGACGCCATTTTTATTAAGTTATCCTTGACTTGTGGTATGAGTATTCGTTTAGTTGAGAAACTGATTACCAGTTCCTGTACAAGAAACGTTCTCTCTACTACTCTATTAATTCAACATTTTCGCATGTCAGCTGTAAGTTCCCCTTTGTAAATTAATTTAAGGTACACAAGATTCTTATGGCATTCGTGTGAAAAAATCTTATTTTATAACAATTTCAGCTAAGCTCTACTTTGGTATATCGTTGAACAAGATGAACGATAACTACTCAACACATTTGTCTTTCCAGTTATTGTTTTTGTCGGGATTTCGTTTGATTAGTTGGAGGATTTCATCATGAGCTGATATTGGTTCTTCGATATTACTATTCCTTTTGTCTCATATTCCTGTCTACTGTCTCTATTATGCATTTCTTCTACTTCCTTCTCTTGCTTTGTGTGCTACATGGAGGGAGTGTGACGACTGGAACTGGTGCACATAAGTGCAAAGTTCTATGTCGAAAACAGACAGACAGGTAAGCATCACACTGTCAGCATCAGGTAAAGGAAGGTGATGATAGATGATTTTAGCAACCGGACAGAAATGCTATCGGTAACGCGAACGCCGAGTGTGTGAATCATGTAGGAGCACTGAAGTGAAGATATTTGTTGGACGATTTCATCGTAAGCTGACATCTGTTAGAGAACCCCATTGGAAAACTACCTAGCAGTATTGGACAGCTGTTTCATCCTAGTTTGAAACTCTTCAGCACTGCACCCACCACCGACAGGGTTCGAACCCAGGACTTTCTGCTTACATTCAGCAGCCACTGGCACCCGATCCAATGGCCAATCAGTCCATGAATTCTAACTTCTGCCAATTCATGACATAGCGCGACCATTCCGCAATGTCTTCTTCGATGAGTTATTGCTTCGCCTTCAACCTACCGCACCCTACTGGTCACGGTTTCCCACTAGAACCCCAGGTTAACAGTCTAAATAGAGCCAGTCGCTAGTGAGCATCATATCTTTTTATAAAATATGAAAAAGTGCATTCTAGGGACACATTCTATTAACACTCCACACTGCCTTTCACTGAGAATATGTCCTTAAGTGAAATGAAACTATTACAACACCCAGAGTAAAATTGATTTTTATTATATTTGATTTTCTCTCCTTCATTCTCTCTCTCTCTCTCTCTCTATATATATATATATATATATATATATATATATATATATTAAGTGCTCAAAACATACACGATCTTCATAAATAACTAACTAAGTGAAAGCTTACAAAAAGGTCAAGGTTGACAAGACAAGAAAGAAAAACGACAACACAATAAATGCTGATACTCAAAATTCCATAGGTTAAATAATCTTTGCACAATGATGAGAAAAAAAGGCCTTCAATTTCAATGAAATGTACACAAAGTGCACAAACCGGGTCTTCTTCTTCGCACAGAGAAATCGTACAACATAGAATTAGTGATGTCTTCGACTTTATTTCTAAAGTATCGGAGACTTATGTGAGGTATAAACGCATGTTATCCATTGATGTATCATCACTATTCACTAATGTACCGCTTATGGAAACAGTAGATTATATTTGTCAAGAAATCACCGAAAGGCAATTAGACTTAGGAATCTCCTTGTGTAGCCTCAAAGAATTACTTCTTAAATGCACAATGAATGTTCACTTTGTCTTCAATAATTCATACTATCCACAAGTAGATGGAATAGCTATGGGTTCACCATTAGGCCCAATATTATTTGACTTCTTTCTCGTAAAACTTGAGAACGGGAAATTTAAGGACATCATCAAGCAGTTTGATAGTGTATTACCGATATGTCGATGATACATTTATCTTAGCTGATGGGAATGTTAACATAGATGAATTGTTGCTGAAATTCAACAACATCCACCATTTGCTTACCTTTACATGTGAAGAGGAGCAGGAGAATAAACTACATTTTCTGGATGTCTTGCTAAGTAGGAGAGAAGATGGGTCACTTGGGAGAAGCGTGTATAGAAAAGCACATTCACAGGGCGATACATGCACTTCCTTAGTTACGTGCCCATTAAATATAAAAAGAATGTTGTAAAATGTCTCGCGAGCAGAGCAAGAAAGATAAGTACGGATGACCTCTTACAAAAGGAATTTGAATATATTCACGATCTCTTGACGGAGATGGACTATCCGAGTAGTTTCATAAAGAAACATATGAAAACATCAGAGATAAAACCTGAGATTATGACTGCACGTAAAAAACCTCTTCTTATTAAGTTACAATTTAATGGTGATTTTTTCCAGAGACTTTCCAGGAGTATACGAAGAACTTTTTAAGCAGCATACCTATGTTTGCCTTTCTCTAGCCGACGAATGATTGGGACACAAACGAAGGATAAGCTTGATAGTTTTGCCACATCTGTGTGCATTTATCAATTCAACTGCACCTGCAGTGACAGTTATGTTGGGCATACTACTACTACTAATAGACAGCTTAGCCAACGCGTTAGTGAATATCTCCCATCGTGGTTTGGCAAAGGACAGACAAAAACAATTCGTAACTCAATTTTGTCACACTTAATTGATAGTGGTCATATAGTGGGGAAAACGAGAGCCTTCAAAGTAATTCATCGTATCCCACCGAATCTTTCCAATACGCTACCTATTCGTCTACCGCACACAGCTGAGGCAGGCGATAGGCATTCGAACCATTAAACCTAAACTATGCATTTAGAGGAAGTTCATACGGCCATTATCCCTCCCTTGTTGGCCTATTAAGACATAACCAACTGATGACCTCTTCGCCACGCCTTACTTATATTTTCAACCCCTTTCTTATCATCCCTTCATTTTATCACATCTTCATTAAAAACGTGTTTCATTTACTTCCCTTACAATTTAACAGGTAAATAAGTTATCAAAATTCATGAAAGTACGACAAGGCTGTCTGCCTATTATTACCGATGATGTTCTTATAGTTGTAGTGGATTGGTTCATGAGTCAAACTGTGGGGAATGAGGAGACAGGAATACGTTGGACTGACCGATAAGAAAACTCTAGAACATTTGGATTTCACGTGTGGATGATTTATGCTTTTAATGTCACACAAACTCGAACATTGACAGGTGAAAACCAAAAAAGTCGCTGAAGAAGCAGACAGCGAAGACAGGACTTTCAGGTGAACATAGCGAAGACGGAGGTGAGGAAGATAACCAACCAACGAACAACAACCACTATCAACGAAAGAAATCTGAAAAAGGTGACACTCCTTTCATGTATCCAGGACGGCGTCTTTCCAACTTCAGGCAACTCTGCGGATGAGGATATCAAAGCCAGTCGAAATCGGAAAGGCAAGATACACCATCATAAATCTTAAATTTGTTTTAGGAATCTTCTGCACTCCACCTTCTGTATGGCATAGAAACTTGACGCGTCAGGAAAACCATTTCCAACACGATGCAGACTTCTTATCAACAATTGCCGCCTTCACTCGCTCCACATTGAAGATCCACAAAGAATTAGCAACAAGAAACTCTCGCGTTGAACAAATCAACCAAGAACCCATCGTTCAACAGATATGTGAAAGAAAATGGAGATGGATCGAACACACAATGAGGAGACCGTTAAGTGACATTGCGCGCAGTGCAGGTCAGTGCTCTAGTGGAACTCGAATGGGAAATGACGAGTTAGATAAGAGTCCGAGGGTGACATGAAGGAGATCATGCAGTGAGAAGGGGATGAGAGACTATAAGCGATCGTGGACCAAGCTGAAGAGAACAGAAGAAAATATAACAACATATTTGAAGACATCAAATTCACAAAAGAAGAAGAAGAGTTAGATAACAAAATCCCATTTTTAGATGTCTTAATCAGGAGAACTAACACAGGAAATATAGAAACACAAGTATGCGGAAAATCAACGCACACAGATCAAATACTCAACTATATACTAGCAATAGCCCAATTACTCATAAAAGAAACTGTGTGCAAAAATTGTTTAGAAGAATTCAAACACACACTGTAGCACTCCAGCGTTGAAAAGAATGGGAGAAAAATACCTACAGACGGTCTTCAAAATGAATGGTTATCCACAAAATTTCATCAAAAAGTGTTTAAAATCGAATCAAAACACCCACAAAGAACCATCATCAAAGACCACAAGAAAATTCATCCTACCATACATGAGAAATATCTCTGAAATAACAGCTAGAATACTGAAACCGTTTGAAATAGATATAGCACACAAGCCAGTCAAATCACTTCATTCCATATTGTGCAAACCGAAATATCTAACAGAAAAAGAAGATAAAATTAATACCATTTACAAAGTAAATTGCTTGTATGAACTGTAATAGACATTACATCGGCCAAAGTGAGCGTCCCCTTCGAATCAGAATCCAGGAACACAAATCAGTCGTGAAAAGACATGATATATACTCTTTCATATCAATGCATATAGATAAATATGGACATCAATTTGATTGGGATAATGTCGAAATTTTAGATAAAGGAAACACCAAAAGTGCTAGGGAACTCCTAGAAGCCTGGTACTCAAACGAATATGCAATTAACAAACATGTTAATATAGACCAAATATACCAACTAATAAAAAGTAAATCATGTGACCAGAAAGTTTAAAATCCAAGTCAATAAAAAATGATCAATACACATATGTAAAGATGGTTACCGGGAGACGCAATTCTCTCACTCATGGAAACAATTTAAATCAGTTCACTTTATGCTAAAAATTGCGATGAAAGGGGATGTTGTCCAGCAGGAGGGACGACGAAAGCTCCGCAACTAAACCAACCAGCTCAGACAACATTACTAATTGCAAAAGTGGAGATGTGCTCAGGGTGAACCTATATGTTCCACTCAAAACCCATGATGAACAATAATCACGATGGTGATAATAATAATAATAATAATTGATCGACAGCCGGACCACGTAGGTTGGCAAACAGTACACGATCGGTATTTGTTTTTTATTTCCTTTCTACAATTTCATTTAAAATCAATCTACCAGGGGTTGACTCAAATGTCTAAAATACGTCAGTTAATTGGTCAACACGCCCACAAATCACTTCACTCCACAGCAGGTGGAGTAGCTCGTCTTCAAAAATGAAGAATATACTCAATCTTTCTTTTACTCATAACTACTCTCTCTCTCTCCCTCTCTCACCCTGTTAAATTATTGCACAACCGACGGTTATATGAGTAACGCTGTAACGCATATATACACAGTAGTATATATATATATATGCATGCATGCTATGAGCAACTCATATATATATATATATATATGCAGAGTAATATTGTTAACTCTAGTGGTGTGATAGCCACGCCTTTAGAGAGAAAGAAAGAACAAACAAAGCAATGGTTTTTCTTGCATTGGATCGATAACCACAACAACGAAAAAGCAAAATCAGATCATTGTTTATATGAATGTATGAATAATAATATTATTAATAATAAAGAAGACGTGTAATGTAACCTGAGTAAGTTATAGACACATTTAGAATGTATAGCAATTGCATTAATAGAACACAAATAAGAAAAAAGTGGAGGAGGGCGAGGCGGGGAGGAGGTGAAGGTGTGGTGAGTGCTACTTATAATCCGATATAAGTAGTATATCAGAAACGAAGTAACAATATGTTTGGCACACTGGAAAGAGCAATCAAAGAAGAGAACCATGAGAAAAATGTTGCCATATGATGCAGAATCCAAGAAGCTATCGAATGAGACGATATTCGACCAATTCGTCAAGGATGTGGTGAAGATGTGCAAATGGCCGGTTGAGAATATGGTATACCAAATTTAGCTATGTACCATACACGTTTCATCAAATAAACATTCCTTTCAGTCACCTCGGTCTTGTCTTCTTCGCATTTGGTGTCGCTGCCTCTGCCGGAGATGAAGGTGCCGTGGCCGCAGGTGTTTGAGGTGGGAGATGTGCGGACGTTCCTCAGGGATTTCGAAGCTGTCGCGGAACTGGTTGGAGTGCAGGAGCAGAAGGCAAAGCTGGTTGTCTTGGGAACGCTGCTGAGGGGCCGCGCTAAGGCTGCATACGACAACGCTCGAGAGCTGGAAGGTGAGGCGGCGTGGGACAAAGTCGTCGAGAGGCTCGTGTTCGAGTTCGACAGCCTTGCGGACAGACAAGAGGCGCTGCAGAAGTTTCGGACGCTGAGACTTGGCCAGGATGGGGATCCGTTGGTTCTCGCAGTAACGCTGACGTATCACCTACGACGCGCGTTACCCACCCTAGACGAAGATTCACGGGAGCAGTTGCTGGCATCTCAGTTCCTCGAATGCGTCCCGACAGATATCGCTCATCAGTTGCAGATAGTTGACGCAGCTCAGCCAATGGATGTCTATGAAATGGCCAAGGTGACAAGGCAGATAATGACTTCGCATGTTGCTCCAGTGATGTCGGAGGGCCAAGATTCCAAGAAGACAAGACCGAGGTGACTGAAAGGAATGTTTATTTGATGAAACGTGTATGGTACATAGCTAAATTTGGTATACCATATTCTCAACCGGCCATTTGCACATCTTCACCACATCCTTGACGAATTGGTCGAATATCGTCTCATTCGATAGCTTCTTGGATTCTGCATCATATGGCAACATTTTTCTCATGGTTCTCTTCTTTGATTGCTCTTTCCAGTGTGCCAAACATATTGTTACTTCGTTTCTGATATACTACTTATATCGGATTATAAGTAGCACTCACCACAGAGGGACTAACAATTTCAGAGAAAGAAAATACAACTGAAGGAATAACGAAACAGCTCAATCAATAATAATCCGATCTGGAAATATTTACACACACACAAACATATATTGAAGGTTCTACGCAAAATAAATACATTAGAGTAATATAGTAGATAGTTTTATATATTACTACTACTACTACTTACCGTTCGACTTCAGCTCTAGGCAGAACACCATGAAACCAGGGTTCCTTGTTAATATCGACATCAGACTGCAAAAAGGATAGACAAATAGACAGTGAGAAAATAGAAGAGCACAGTTCAGTGTATTTAAAGCATGAATGAATATTATATTATTGTCTCATTCAGTTCCTAGAAGAACATGGGGCTTCAGCCACACGTCTCCGTTGCGTGCAGTTCTCTGCCAACGTTTTCAACACCTGGCTGCATGTCTGCCCACATGCTTTCGTCTCCTCTTCATATGACCTCCTCCATGTCACCCTCGCAATGACGACCAATTCGCCACTTCCCATTCGGGTTCCACTCTAGAGGGAGCCTAGCGTGTGATGTCACTTGATGATGGTTTGTTTTCTCACGGTATGGACACCAATCCACCTCCTTTTCTTCCTGCATATTTCTTGCACATTTGGTTCCTGCTGGGTTGGTTCGCTCATTACCAGGATATCCCGTCCTGTTGCTGATCTTTTCTGGCCAACCATCTGATCTTGAGTGGTATTGAGCGAAGACAGCTGTTGATGAAGGTCTGTAGTTTGTTCGAAGTGGCCTTCGTCATGCGGCGTGAAGTCTCTGATTCGTATAATAGCACTGATTTAACAATTGTGTTGAAAACCCGAGTTTTTTCCTCATGATAATTTCAGAAGATTTCAGAGCCGACTACTTCAGATCGATGAATGCATAGGTTGTCTTTCCGATTCTGTCCTGCTTTGAAATGTCATTATTACGATGTTTAAAGTAGAAATGATTTATATACTTCCTGTAACTGTTATTTGTGCGTCGGTGACGCAGCGGTAGAATGCTCACCAACCAGCCACGTAGGTGGTCCGGGGTTCGATCCCCGGTCAGAGACGCACTCTTTCACCTCGGTTGGGCATGAGGCAGGCTAGGAAACCCATCCCGTCAAAATAAACACCACTGCTACAGAAACTTCAAGCCTGTAACTTGAAGGCGTCCTATGTTCCACTGGGGGCGTAAAGGAATAAAAAAAACGTGTTATTTACAATCAACTCTCTCTGATACCAGTTACCTCCATAAACAGCCTGAATAGTACACCACTTCATGACAAGATCAGATAACTAGCCATATCAAATTCTGTTCTGAATCATAAAATCACAACATGACAATGCTACCTCGAGATCTGACCTCTACGTTTAAACGCGATATATAATACTAACACTTACCTCAATCACTAATGGGAAACTGGTTAGTATCGATGTCGAATCTTGAGATTCTCGATTAGTTTGAATATTTTGATGACTAAATCGTCTATTTTGATTATACGATGGAGTATCTGTGCCTGAAGAAGAAAAAGGGAGAATAAGAGAATTTAGAGAAATTAAGATGAATTATGGTTGATAATTGAGTAGAAAAAGACACTGGACTTTCGATTAAATAAGCAAAGCATAACATTGGTGTATTAATGTGTCTACATTTCTTGAAAACACCCGTTTATAAGAAAATATAAACTGTCATTATTATTAGTCTACCTTGAGTACTATTCACTTGTGATGTTACGAAGAAAATGCTGACAAAAGTATACAAGTGTATTACTTATTTTAAATTATTACCAAATTTGGATATAAATCAAGAATAAGACTCGATGCCGTACACACCAAAGTTATATGGAGGAATTACTTCAAGCTTTATTTTTTTCCCAAGTATTTGTAATCCATCCAAAACATACTTGGGTTTTTTTGTTAATGCGAAGACAATATTTCTATATTTCTTGATGTGCTCCATTGAATGACTAGTTATCATATTGTTCCCATAGACAATGACTGCAACCTTATAATTTAACCATGAAGCAAATTTATGTAATTTAAATAATACTTATCCATACCTGTACAATTGGTGTGTCCTATACAGGTAGGAAAAAATGTATTTTTTATTAAATTACTATTATTAAATATGCTTACTAATCGTATATGTAATTTATCATATTGATGATGCCTGTAAACTGGCGTCCCTCATGTACAAAATGAGAATATATTAATATTATATTACTCAAAAATGTGAGGGTGTTTAGCCTCTTCCAACGAAGTAACCTCCTCTTCCATATGGCTTGATAAAATATTTTTTCCAAAATCCCATTTATGCATTAAAAAAAACAATAAATTCAGGGGGGTTAATACGCATTCCTTTTCAACAAGTTCTTCATCATCGGCTGGCTCTACACTAATATATAGTTTTTTACATCAAATTTCTTTTATTATCAGTCAAGTGGGCAATGTTAGCTGATATAGGGTCAGGCTCGAAAAGAGCTAGCGGTGGTCAAAGCAAAATATGGCACCAGTCAATGAAATCTATAACAGTTAGTCTAAGCCACGTAGGAAGGTGTAGACTTCCTGGTTGGGGTCCTCAGGACGGTAAAAACTAATGGTTGGAAACAATTGGTGACATGGCTCAAAATCGTTCTCAGTGATGGCGCAGATGCATCCACTCCTTGTGACTCTAATATGCATTTCTCCTACTTTCTTCTCTTGCTTTGTGGGGTATAAGGAGGGAGTGTGGCAACTTGAACTGCCGCACATATGTGCAAAGTTGTTCTATGTCGAAAACAGATAGACAGACAGTCGAGTGGTTTTAGGTATATTCACGGTGGATGAAATTAAGAGGTTAAAGGTCATCTGAACAAATAACTAATAGATGTTTGTAACAAGATATCTAAGTTTTCAAGGAGGAAGAGGTGAAAATTAATTAATTAATTACGGAATTCAAGATAAGTTGATTCTTAGGCGTTGGCAACAAGTTATTACATAATTAAGAAATTTGAAAAATAGCAACGATGACTAAGAAGAATAGGATGACTCAGAGGAGAGTTAAGTTAAATATAAACAAGTTAATAGAATTAGCTAGAATTCTAAAAATTGTGAAAATTAGCCAAAGGTCATAAGGTAGTTAGTTATAAGGGGAGGGAAAATATCGTTTTAAAAAAATTAATACCTATTATGTAAAACAGAGCGTCGCCGACGCACTCCTGTACCTCGCTAAACCGGCAATGAGACTGGTAAAGGGGGATGGTTGGGCATGGGGCTAGCAACCCCATCCTGTAAAAATAATCACCACTGCTTCGGAAAATTTAAACTTTTAGCTTGAAGCCCTATGTTCCACTGGGAACGTGAAGAAATAGAAAAATGTAAAAGTGAAGACGTTCAGCGAAAAGACTCTTTTCGGCAAATTCATTCACATAGCTGTACAATCGCATTTATATATATACATATATATTTTGTGTATGTACATGAGGTTTGTCAAGTTTAGATAATTAATCAGGTAATACAAAAATGATCTAATATAGAAACAAGGTTGATTAGACAGCAACTAAAGTAAGATTGAGTTAATAAGTTAGATGACGTAATATAATTGACTGAAATGTTTCAAATTAGGTCAAGATAACAACAGAGGTAATTACAGGTAGAGAGAGACTAAGTAGAGGTGGGGTAGAGAATAATGTCATTTAAATTAGGACTAAAAGTGAGCAAATAAATCGGATGACGTAACATATGGGGATTTTTAAGTTACATATTATGTAGTTGGTGATGGTAAAGATGGGGGCTGTACAAATTTCCTTCGAACACACAGATTTGGCTTGTTCAGATGAATTCCGATTGCTTCTGATGTATGTAAAAGTCGAACTCGTAGACAGTGAGAGGGGTTGGGTGAAATACAATAAAAAACTTTGAAAGGTTTGTTACAGTCAGGTTGATGTTCAATCAGTATGTACAAGATGAGCTAGTATTGAGCTGCGTATAGCAAGCAGCTTTATTCGGACCTTTGCCAAACCAAGATGGGAGGTGTTTTGATATACCACTTTACACGGGAGACATCTAGTCGGCATTTTCATGTCTGCCACTCTCAACGGCTAGGTCTCACAGTCAGTCATAAAGGAGGATGGAGCGGACTGCTGATGAGTACATACACCCTTTAGTCGATAGCCAGCTGGATATCACGTCAACGCTAAAGACGGCGTAAACGGGTATATGCGAAGCGAGTTTACTGTATCCATGCTGAGATTTCGTCAGCGATCAACCCGTTGACACTGCCTGATGTAACTTCCCAAATAAGTGAAGCAGTCAACGTGCTCTACCACTTCACTCCCTATTTCTAAGCTAGAATTGAGTCAATGTAGCCCAGTCAGTCCTGTAGCATCATCTTACATTTGGTGGGAGCGAATCGCATGCCAAACATTCGAAGATCACTCTGTGATCAAGGTGTCCGTAAGACTCTGCTCTATTCTATCAGCGTCTTCACTTAGAAGGGAGGACTATATCATCTGCATATTCTAAGTCAACGAGATTATTCCCTGGTAGCAACAAGTCAATCCCTGAGTCGCTGAAGTCACTTAGGGTTAAGTCCATTATTACATCTATGATGAAATTGAATAGAAATGCAGATATTTGGCATCCTTGACCTTAGTCAAGCTAAACCCCCTGTGATTATCACAGAAAGACTCGTCTCCCTTCTTCCATATCTGTAACAACAGAAGACAAGGGCCACTCACCAGATCGTTTATTAAGGGAAATCAACACATATTTATAGTCCAGTCCATGTAGGCTTTTTGTATATTGACCTTTTCAAAGAGTCGTTGTCATTTCTCATCAATTCTATTTGATGACAGCAAATTTCAAAAACAGACGACTCAAAAAGATCCAACTGAACAGACGGAGCTCCAGCTAACCAACTTATTGAAAAAAATGAAAGATGAATCGATTATCAATACAGAACTATACGAAAAACTTCGCCCATCTGGTTCTACATCGCCACGAATGTATGGACTACCCAAAGTGCACAAGAAGGACGTCCCACTCCGCCCAATATTAGATATGATCAATTCGCCATATCACTTAATCGCGAAGTGGCTGGTAGAGATTCTTGGACCAGTGAAAGAAAAGTTGTCTAGATACAACCTCCGCGACACATTCGACTTCGTGGATTCAATTAAAAATGTCTACCTCGCAAATAAAAAAAATGGTCTCCCTAGACGTCGTCTCTCTGTTCACCAATGTTCCTCTGACAGAAACTATATGCTTTCTGTGCGACTTCATCCAACGCCACAGCATAGATGTCGGCATACCGATGCATTATCTAAAGGAGCTGTTAGTATGCTGCACCTTCAACGTCTACTTCAGATTCAACAATGAAATCTACAGGCAAACAGATGGCGTAGCAATGGGCTCTCCACTCGGACCACTCCTAGCCGACTGTTTTATGACCAGCCTTGAAAACAACCCGTTATCATCAACTATCGACGACCTTCATCTCTACAAGAGATACATTGATGATACTTTCATCATTTGTGATGAGAAGCTAGACCTTGAAAACCTACTCCAAATCTTCAACAACGCCCACCCAAACATCGACTTTACACTTGAAACCGAATCCGACGGAATGTTCCACTTCCTGGACGTCCATCTGACAAGAAATGACGACTCTTTGAAAAGGTCAATATACAAAAAGCCTACATGGACTGGACAATTCATCAACTTTCAAAGCTTCGTGCCGCTAAGCAGAAAGAGGAACATATTTATAGATTTTAATGTACATTATAGTAGATTATTGTTAGTAGAAAATACAGTCTTTTGATTGGTTGTTTCTCACAGAAAGTTAACCTTGCATCCCTTTGTGGCTGTGTCAGATCATCCATATGCTAACTGTATCCAACCACGCAAAGCCTTTGTTCTCATTTTCTCAACACCAATGTTGGGGACATAACCATTGACGTCAATTACCGTCTACCAACTTTGGCTAGCAGCCAGGTCTCACCACACATCTATTGGGATAATCAGTGACCTACACCAACCCGAAGGGACTTTCTCTGATTCCCAGACTCTGCCTAGTACCTTAGTTAACGCAGAGAGTAAACTGTCTGCCCCGTACTTAAATACCTCTGGAGTCATTCCATCAGGTTCCACTTTGCTGCTTTGCCTCCTTTCAGACTAGTAACAGCCTTAGTAACCTCTGTTAGGAACGGAGGACCTTTGTCTATATCCCATTCAGGGAGGTGTTGGATGTTCAGTAAGTTGAGAGTGGCTGTACGTTAGCTAAACTGCTCCTCATAGTGTTCTTTCCTTCATCACAGAATAAAGCATGGAATTGTAGTCAAACCCCCACCTCAACTTCATTGACTTCAAAAAGACCTTCAACAATGTTGACCGAGAAGTAATTTGGAAACTGCTTCATAACTATGGTGTGCCCGAAATCTTTATCAACCTCACTCAACAGATGGTTATATGACAATGTCACGTGTCATGTGGTCCCACAACGGAGAACTCAGTGAAGCGTTCGAAGTAAATACAGGAG